TATATTGTAATTTAGATAAGAAAAAATGTCCAACGTTATAAGCACCACCGCTCGTTTTGCGTATCGATTTGGCACGAACAAACACGGAGACCACTTCCGCGAGCTTCGATATCTGATCTCAACAAAGCAAAGTTGTTAGTTGAGACGAAATCAATTCCGATATGTTTGGAGCTACATGTATACCACACATTATACGCTTGTACATATAATACAATGTTTGTACAATTAAGCCGGTTTTGAGCCCTGAAATGAAGCGAATGAATTGCGTTTTAGCTAGCAAATGTTAGATGTTAGAAATTAATTGGCAAGTTCTCGACAGGATAAGCACGGATTTTACATTGCGCTGCATTAAGTATGAGAGCATCATTAGCACAATTATTGAGAGAGCGATTATTAGCGAAAATTACAAAAGGCCAGATTTCGGATAAAGGCATGCGCTCGGCGAATAAATCCGGGAATTGTCGCACATATCATCAAATATTTTGATAGAAGGGAACTCAAAATCCCGCCCTTCCATTCAATCTGAAAATTTCAACAATTTTTTCCGCGCGTGTTAAATTAATCATTAAAAATCATCCTTTCGAAAATAGTTCACATATAGACATACGTACTAATTTTAACAAGAATTTCAAAACTGAAGGCATTTATTACAAAAGTGTTGTGCGAAGTAAAAAAAAAACGTATAAAAGTAAGCGAATTTATTGGATATATTAATAACTTCATTGGTCAAAACAAGTAAATTTGCTCACTTTCATAATTTTCACTTCATTTCGAGAACCGTAATGTAAGCATCCTGGATCATTTTAGGATTCGACACTTACTGCTTCGCCGACGTTGTAAACAAAGTAATTCACCTCGTCATTAATAACAATTAATAATAATTAGTAATAATTAATAATAACGGTGAGACAACTCCGTATTGTCGCAAAAAGCCGCATGTCCATTCCCGGATTTCATCGGATTGAAGAATAAAAGAGAAGTCGAGCTCGAAGTGTAGAATAACGTCGCACATACCTTCTTTACGCTTCTCTTCTGAAGTCGCGTCGTTCTCGAGCCGCGTATCCATGGTTCATGGTCCACCCGGTGATCCTAACCGCTTAGTTCGTCGATTTATCACGGACGACCGATGTCACAACGGCATGTCGCGCTATACAGATCGCAGACTCGTGTCGATCGAGTAGAAACGAGATACTCCCTGAGTTTCGCTCGCTCGACGCTACGTTACTTAGTAACTCGCCCGTTAATTAATTAATTAACTCAAAGTAGCCGCGATTCATCGCTATTAGAAGTGCACAGCTTATTACGAAGCGTTTATTGCGCGAGCCACCCGCGCGATCTCATTTTCGAGGATTCGCATGTCATGCACGCGAGAATGTGCTGGTATCGGCGCGCATTATTCTTCGCACACCCCGAAGAGAGTGGGTGAGAAACTGTAATCTCTGCGCGCACTGCACGGACTGTGGTCAAAGAGAACTTGGTCACGAGCATTCTGTCATGCCATTGATTGCCAGCCCAGTCTCGTAAAAGCCTCTGTTAGTTTACTAGGCAGTTCGCGTCTGCGCCTGCACCATCCGCAACCACTTCGCCCGTCTGCGCCGTTGTAATCTACTCCGGCTACACACAGGGTGTTCTGGAACTACTAATCAAACAGGCCCTCCCATCTCAGTCGGATATAAAAGATATGCAAGGCAGATCACAAGTAGGGTGATCAGATGCAATGCACGTGAAGGACATTTATCATGAAAAAGTGGTACAAAAGTAGTTAAAAAAAAAAAGGGAAACGAAGAATAAAATAGAAGCAGACATTGTTGATCTGAGATCCTGTATTATTTTATATTTCTTTTAAACTTCGTTTAAATTCATTTAGACATATACAAATCAAATAATTTTCCGTGAAAAATTTCTAAACTTAAAATAAGATAGATTATTTTGAACGTTGAAAAAAGAAAAAGTGAAGCTGCTGAGAGAGAGAGAGAGAGCAAAAAGTATAAGCAAACGTGAATAAACCTAATGACTAATCAGCATCTTAATTTGTAAATCAATATGATGATTTTATGCCGATTTGGTCTTAATGCCTTATTCCAATGCATATCCTGTACTATGTGTTGATATATTTTTTGACAGTGTCACACTGACTTAATAATTTCCGATCCTCTAGCTCGCTCCAAAGTCCCAAAAGTAGTACAAAAAAAGAGTACACATTAAAAATCTGTCCGCACGTTTCCGGACGCTCGAAAAAAAAAAAGAGTATACGTCACTCTAGGCACAAGAAAATTCTTTTAATAATTCAATCATTAAATCGCGTATTGATCATTCTGGATAATTTTTCGTACAATTTTTGAACCGTCAAATAGATTGTTCTATCCCTTACCTCTTATGCCCGTTTCCATAGATGTAGATTAACTTTGATTTTGATTCAATTTATTTTTCATTTTTATCTAATCTTTAGAATTAGAAAAAGTCGAACAGAGATTAAAGTTAATCTATATTTATAGATGGAAATAAGCATTAGTGATTTTTTTATATTGAAAATATAAGCAGATTTAATGTTTCGCGAAATAAAATTGCATATAAGTTTTCTAACTATTTTTCTTCCGTCATTTCTTAAAATTAAAGCAATATAAAAAACAGTAATTACGTATAATATGAAAATTTCTAATTTTACTTGCAAAAGATCTAAATAAAAACTATTTCTACATATTCTCTATTATTATTAAAATGATTATTAAATAGTACATATTAATATTATCATTATCAAATAAAATATTATAATTTTAGTTTAAAAAATTTTTTTTTGCATGATCATTTGTATTATATTTACAATAATTTAAAGTTGATGCAGCTTATGCATAATATAATTACAATCGGTTGTAATTGACATGAAACTACTAACTTTCACTGTTTGCTCGCACTGTATTTCAAATATTACCTACACTTTTAATTCTTTAGTTTTCACATCTCTATTTTGCGTGACTGAACGGAAAGAACTTTTTCTTATACATATTCATAAAGCGCAATGTCGTTCACTCAATGTCAAATAATATCGCACGATTTATAACAAGATAAAAGACAACATGAGAGCTGAATAGCCAGGGACTTGAGGCGTTTTCGGTACAAAAAGAAATAGTCGACAAGTAGCTGGAAAAATATTTTATTTTATATTTTCTGAAATAAAAGATTTTCAATTAAGTCTAAGTGACGTAGGAAACACACCTCACTGATATTTCGTTCTTGATATCAACGTCACTACATCTAAGTAGGAAGTATACGATAATCTTTTTGTTCTTTTTGTAGAAAAGATTTGTATAAGTACAAATATACTTATAGATATATAAATAGGTACATTCATACGCACAAGCGTTCGCGCGGTAAATTACAGATGGTTAAACATTTTGATAATAAATATAAGATACAAAATTTTTCTACAATATACACAAATATAACGCATAAAATTTCTCTTAATCTATAATCTTTTAAAATATAGAAATTAGTCACGAAATAAACTTGTAAATGTTGTTTTGAACTAAAAGGATGACACAAAGTAAATGTAAAAATCTCAATTTAAATTTTTTTATAACATTGACCTAGAATTATCATTAATAATGAAATATAAAAAATGAAAAACAAATTAAAATCAATTACAGATATGATATTAATAAGATAATAATAAGTTATAATAATATCCAATTATATAATGTTATAAAGATTATCAACAAATTACTCCCATTTGTATTTACCTATGACAAAATCAATTTAATAAATTAAACAATTATTAACAATTAGACTCGTGATTTGATCGCAGTTTTTGATTGCATCATAGAATAACACAGAAGTTGAAATGAAATATAATTGCGATACATATATGTACACACACACACACACACACACACACACACACACACACACACACACACACACACACACACACACACGCGCGCGCGCGCGCACGCACGCACGCACACACACACACACGCACGCACACAAATATATATATATAAAACAATAAATATTCTTCTCAAATTTTATATTAAGTTAAAAAATTTAAGCGGCAGACAACGGTTGCAAAATACGTTATCTTAAAATATGCTATTGAAATAAATACATCTATATATTATTATTTGTTAAATTTACTTGTATAAATTATTTGTCAAGATTATTTATAATATATATAAAATATTTTTGATATGTGCTATAATTAAATATTTAAGAAAAACTTTTGCATACATAAAATTACTCCATTTATAAATGTAATAAAAATTATTTAATCCGTCTTTTAAATATTATTACGCATAACTGTCTGTGTTATTCTAAGATAATCGAAACGCGCATAAGGGAAACTATAAAAATCCCTTCAAATATCACACAACATTTATAGACTGATTAAGGCTTATAATTCCATTTCAGTCTTTCGTTATAGTTCTAGCTATAAAGATACACAACTCTTAGAGTTGATGTCACAGATTTACACATATATTGTACGATGTGTAAATATAATGGGATGCTAAAAATGTTCGTTTTAGCCAGCGTGTTTATAGTATTAACGTGTTTACTCTATTAAAAAAAAAACATTTACATATTTTTAATTAAATATAAATAAAGGCACGCATATGTGGTTATTAACCCTTAATACACACCTTAGTTTTTGGCACCCTTACTACACATGTTCGATCATTCATGTCCTGAATTAATTTTCGTCACTTTTACAAGTATATATAAATTATTAAATGATTTTTACATATATTTTGACATCTTTAGAAAGTATTTATATAGTTATACATAAATTATAGATAAATTGTTATAACTAAATATAATTAATAAAATGAGAAAAATGCACTGTTTTATATAAAAATATGAAACTCTAAAACAAAAATGTTTAAAAGAAAAATATAGTTCAATATCTTAAAATTGATATTCCAAACTACAAAAAAAAGGTTCAAGTGTCGGTTATCCAAAAAGTTTAGTTATTGAGTAATCTGAAAATGATATTTTTTTAAATATGCATGAATGATTATTGAATGGCTAATGAAATTGAAGATATATTGCATTTACACTTCGAACAATGCATTTTATTATTGCTATTGTGTTAACAAAACTTATAATTTATTTAGATGCTCTTTATAATAATGTCCTTTATAACATTACAGACAACATAATATAATATTACTGATTATAGCTAGCACAAGAGTGCCAAAAATCGTGTTTATTAAGGGCTAATATGTTATTCTAAGGTTAAATTTTTTTTTTAATAATTCGCGAAATATTTCCACAATACAACCGAAAATTAATTAAAAATAAGAAAAAAAATAAAAATTTTGTAGTTACACAAAATGTACGCTCTGTACACACATGTTGAGTCATTTGTGACCCAAAGGTGAATTTCGGAGTTACGGCAGTTAAAGGATACGCACGAATTGAGGCTGGCAACGCACAAAACTTATTCTCTAGATGCCAAACTTTTTTTAGGAATAGAAAAGAGATCGGTATTTGACCAGTTGCTCTTAGTATTTCAAAGAAAAGAAATGCGCAGGACACAAAGATGACCCAAAGATGTGTATTAAGGATTAATATTATCACTTTTATATGTACATACACACACACACACACACACACACACACACACACACACACACACACACACACACACACACACACACACATACATCACACATATATATATATATACAGGGTGAGTCATTTTAAGTAATACATTGAAATATCTCGAAAAATATAAAAAGTACCGAAAAATGTTTTAAACAAAAGTTGCTCAGTTACTAGGGGGAAAGAAAGTGATGACTTCGGTTGGTCTAGAGAAAATGTTCTTAAAGTTAGGTCAAAGTTACTTAAAATTTTTTTAATGGAAACCTCAATTTTTTATTTCATATAATCAGGAGTGGACAAAATACTTAAAAAATTGTATTCAAATACAAAATACTCTCAAAAAAAGATTTAAAATACAAAATACAAAAATGTATTTAAATACGTATTTTAAATACATGTCTTCCAAATATTGCCCATCCTTGCATATAATCAAGACCTTTTCAAAACACTATAATAAAATACTTTTTCATAATAAAATATTTTTTCGAGAGTATCAGACTGCTCCTCGCCCTGATAAAGTGGACTGCAAGGTTCACGAAACGTTGGCATTCCAAGATCTGGACATGGAGAAAACCCGTGAAACGCATAATCTTTATATAAAATATTTTTTCATTTTTTCACTTTACAAATTATGGGGTAATACTTATTATTGAAAGTTAACAGGTTAACGCTGAATTTGACAGCCTATTTAAACGTAAAATTTTCTGCTCTTTTCATTTTTGGAATAAAAAATAGGGATTTCCATTTAAAATGACACCAGTTATAATAATTGCTTGGTGGGTGATCAATATTAATGTAGTCAAACAGAGCACTTCCAGTGTTGACTTGTTAACTTTTAAGCTCCATAACTTGTAAAATATTCAATGAAAAATTATTTTATTATAGTGTTTTTGAAAAGGTCT